TTGTCTATGGTGGATAAACTAAATAATATATAGTGTTCTCTAGAATAAAATGTATTAAATATATAGCTATTATACTTCTTTAGAAGTATCAGCACGGACTTCATATAACAGTTTTAAATTTTTTTTTTTTTAAGTGTATTTACCTATTAACCCATGTGGTTGAGAAATAGTTAAGTAAAAATTAAATTGAATTATAATATTAATTATTTGTTAATAATATTTACTTTTGTAAAATAATATCATGGTCACGATTGCTTCGTAATTTAATTCATGCGGATTGAATATCGAATTCCCACGTTACAGTAATACAAGATTCCCAAACAATTTTTTTTTTTAACAAAAACCTCTTAATTGTATTCTAAAATATTATAATCATCTAATAACGTCATCCCTCAGAACTTAAAAAAAAAAATTCGTACAAAGCTGTAATTGGTAGGTAAGGCATGTGCAAGGGTTTCCCGACCGCAACTGACTATTATAATAATAATAATAATAATTGGTTACAGACATTTTATAATAATAATAATCTCAGCTGTAACGTAGGTCCCATAGCTTTAGGTACTATATAGCTCGGCTGCAAAACATATGTGCTTACGACGAGTTATAAATTATTATTATTTTTAACGTACTTATCGTGCGTTTATTTCGTCGTATTCGTATGCATAATATATATATATATATGGCGCAGTGGGCTCAAACAACGGACGCCATTGTTGTTGTAATATCATAATAGATTTAGAACTGAAAATTACACCGTATTAAATTACGGCGATACATCTCGTAATTATAAACCTATTAGCATTATAATGTGCGGAGCTCGTGCTGTATTCTTCGCGGGCGCTCGGCATTGATAATTTATATATAATATTATTATTATTATTATTAATTTAATACTTTCAAGCGTGAGTATAACAACATCGTGTCACCGGTCGTTACCAGCTGCTATACACGTGTAAGCTGCGTCGGACTTTGCTGGCTCAGACCGCCGTTTGTCTATTCCGCCCCGCACACTAATGCATTTTTAGAGGAGTAGAAAAACTCATTACGAATTATCGCGCGTTGACGGATAGGATACTAATGGTTTCGTTACAAACGTTTTCACGTATTTTCTAGTCGAGAAGACTCTAAGCGAAATGGCATTCCTCCCGTTACGTATTGTCACCCCCAACCCCTTTCCAACCATAAGCAAAACGTGCAACGATAATGTTTATTTTCTTTAGCTCTGTCTCTCTCTCTGCGACCGCGTGTGGTCCAAACCTCCGCCACTAGGATTTTTTCGCCTTAGATCTTTTTGCCTTCTTTTTGTAATACAGTTCGACTAGGTAGTGTGCGAATACAAAATAATTAGAGAACGGAAAATTATTCAATACACATAGCACTTTTGTTCCTCACTACTTAGTTTTAAACACGTCATAAAAAAAAAAAAATTGGCGAAAGTATAGATAACCACTCTGCTGTACAGTTATTATAGGTGTAGACTGTAGAGTGACCTAGTCATTGTGGAATAAGTCTCGGTAACGTAATATCTGTGCATCAGCTAATTACGTATTGTATGGTTGGTCATAGGTAACCGTTGAATTTAAAACCCATCAAAACAAATATTATAAAATAATAATAATATACTCATTGCCCACCGTTCACCCTACACTTATAAAATTAATATTATTTTCACGTATACTTCCACGATACGCTCCAATACACATGTTCGCATGTTCATATTCTACCTATAATGTAGAAATCAAACTGATTTCACAGTTTAAATTTTCAGTTGAATAACACATCATGCACGTACAGTGTACACTGTACATATATTTTATAAGGCTATGCCATGTTTCATCTGAGTGAATACTCCAAATATATTATACATTGCATATTTTATGGATACTTGGTAATTTTAATTTGGTGCATATTTTGACATATTTGACTTGAAATAAATAAATTAGTAAAAATTACAAAGGGTCGAGAAACGCTATTGGTCGATTTTCCAGTAAAATATTATTATGACGTATAAATAGCGTATACAACAACTGCAGAGAAATTGTCTCGAATAGTCTTTAATTAATTGAGATTTATTCCTTGTCGTATTCGATTAATTTAATTTCGAGGAGACGAGTTGTTTTTTCCAATCATATTTTTATTGACATATCAGTTTAGTAAAAATGTTTAGCAAAACAACTACTATATACCTATTAATTATTTATGAAAACATTTTTCCAGATACTTATACAAAAATCAAATACTCATAATTTTTTTCCTTTTAGATCATTAGTTTTAATCATCTCTGGACGGCCATTCAGTTTTTAATTTCCTCAAGTTCATTAAATAAAAGCTCTTAATTAGCTCGTGGATTAATTTTCAAGTTCATCGGACGATAAAAATAATTATTTTCATAGGTTTTAAATGCTGATTAATTTCCTCAAAATTAATTTATGATAACTTCATAAAAATAATTAAAACACTTTTAAACATATTCCACAATGCTTAAATCTATATAATACATACACACTCGACAACTGAATGTTGTAAATTTTCTTCGTTATTTTCAATATAAGTTTGTATGTTTCATATAATTTTCAATGAAACAATGACACAAAATAAAAAATGTACAGTATCAAAAAATATCATTTTTAATTTTAAAAAACAATTTGTTTTAACCCAACTATAACCAACTCTTATTGTTTGGTAACTTTTGTACAACTAAAATAATTGTACAAAACAATACTATAGGTAGTGTATACCTTTTTACTACAGGAAAACATCAGAACAATATAAAACTCAATAAAATATTTATCATGCAATTCCTCTGCAAATATTAAATGGAACATTTAAGTCTTCAACGGAGTTCTAACTATTATATACTTGTTGGATGATGCCATTGTAATTATTTTATTACAATATAATAATATAAACCCGAGTTTCTCTAAAATTGCACTACCTATATATATATTATCAACATTCCAGTTCATGTGTAATAATATTAGATTCTGAGCGGAACGAGGAAGCTAGTGGTTTTACAATGGTGTTTATTTTTTTTTATTTTTACATCCTGTATACAAAATTTCTACCAGAAGGAGTTCTTCGATTTCAACAAATAGTACCTTATCTTTTAGCAAATTGGTTCAAGATGGTACTTTAAAGAAGTCATTTTTCGATTTTATCAATAGTTATTTAATGCCACTGTAAAAACCACCGTCAAATTACGAAAAACCGGTAAAAATTGGATTTTAATTTCTAACGTTTTGTTTATTACCATAGAAACGAATAAAAAAAAAAAATAATATTAAAATATTAATTCAACTTAAATGATATAATTATTAATGACAATATAAAATATCCAGACTGACAAATCGTCTCCACTCAGAATCTTTTTTCTCATACAATCATAGAATATCATTGAATTCAAGTTTAATACAATCCATTATAAAATGACCCACATGCAACCTACTGTACAGCAGAGTGACATCCACTTACCAGCTTTTTTTTTTTTCAAATAATATTTGTAATCTTCAGTAGCTCGAATTACACACAAACATAGCTAAACTGACATATTAATTAATTTTAAAAAAGTAAATCAATAATAATATTTTATGCCATTTTGCAATTATATTTAGTTTCATCCATCTATTCAAATCGTAAAGTAACAAGAAACACGAGCTTAGATTTTTTACTCGGACTAAATAATATTTTCTATATTATGATCTTTACTACAGTATATACAATGTATTATTTATAATCGGATAAATATATAAACGAGCATAAATCACAATTCGCAATACAGGAAAACACACTATTAAGTCTAATCTTACTTCTGTTAATGTTATATTCAAGGGTACGTGTAATACAACAATATATTTTTTCTTTTAACGTTCAGAGTGTCCAGACTGACCGCGACATTCCGAGTGTTTAGGTAAATATTTTCTTCTTAAATATTATATAATAATAATTATTATTACGATGGATACTACTATAGAGTATAGGGGTTTCATAATATGCTGTAAAATGACTGATAAGTTATATAATATAATGTATTATGTTATTATATTATATCGGTAATAATATTATCAAATACGATGAGTGGTTAGTAATAATAATAATATTATTATCGAATTCAATGTATAGGTACTCGATATTATCATAAACTGATTTTCGTATAGGTAATGATTAAAATTTATTGTTCCGGGGCAGATATAATTATTTTTATCCTTTGCTAATTAGAACACGGCGGCAATATGCCAATTAGGATATTTACTGTATGCATCGATAATATACTAATTCCGAAGGCGAACGGATTTGTGTGAACGATGACTAAATATTTATTTTTTCAGCTTTTCCTGAAAATTAAACCTTAGTAATCGGATTACCCCGACGAGCGATGACTTTAGTCTTCGTAATTCGACGTATACGGCCGCCGTGCACGTTTCGATATTAATTTAAAATTATAATTTTTCGAGAGGGCCGGGTGATTAATATACATTTACAGGATGATTTCATAGAATTAACGAACAGTTGTCGATCGATAAATGAGTCTGTAATACATACTAAAACATTATTAAACTTATAAGTATATATTTATGTTTGAAATGTACTGGAGTTCAGTCTTAATCATTACTTATAGTTGTACACTTTTACCCGTCTTGTACCCGAGAGAACTCGAAAAAAGTTTTATGTACTTATATAATATTGTATATAATTCCTTTCGAAGTATATTAAAATTATTTAAACACCTTTCATACAGTGTTGGATTACCGGGATCATAATAATATATGGTATACGCACTATATCCTGTTATATACACACGACCTACAACTGACTGCGGAAATACTATTATAGTATTATGTATTATTATTAATATTATCGTACCTATTTCTTTTTTTCTAAACTATTAGTGATCATCGCATTTCAATAACCGGCGGAGTTCAGGCAGTTGACGTTTGAATATCATCCGTGGGATTTTACAACCGACTGCGGATCGGACGAGAAAGACAAATTGAATCGCTTACCGTTTTGTTGTCCAAACTCTTGACTTTGCATGTCAAATACGCCGATTTTCCTTCCAGCGCCGTCACGTTCCTGGGCGTTTCCGGGTCGAATTGCGGCCCAGAGTATTGGTTAGCGTCCGGTTTCACGGCATTGACGTCACGCCCGCTGCCCCCGGCGCCGTTCTTGTCGCTGCCCCCGTGACTCTGGTACGAACACCCTGTGAACAAATATAACGGTATATGTACATGACGGATTTTTTATGATATTTTCGTTTGTATGGTAAACGAAACCAATTTCATCCCATCGTCCGTCATCGCACCATGTGGAGGAGGGGCCCGGTCGGTACGCGGCGGCGGATCAGGTCAGGCAGGGGTCCTGCATCGAATCCCCCCAGGATAGACTCGATCCTCCCCGAAAACACAATCAATCCCCTCTGCTGCTGCATAAACATCGTATTTCGTTTTATTATTATTCACTTCGGTATTTCCTAGAGGTTTGAAATTTTTTCGTTGTTTTTTATTTTATAATATATCGTGTAACATATTATTATTATTATTATACATTGTCAATTGTTTGTAGTGCAGCATAACATTATACGATATACAAGTGACACGTCCCTAGCACTCTATACTATATAGTCTAAAGCATAGTACTTTCAGCTTAGCTAATTGTATTCCCTTTTCCCTCGTATATTTTTAATTGATTTTTTTTATATAATGCCTACACTAAACGGAATAACGTGTATTAATTATTTGTTTGATTATAATAAACTCTCTCGGTAACATTGGACATTTTGTGATATTGAAAACATTATAATATTAAATATAGGTAACACGAATACATGATATAGGCGTGTAACGATGTACGTATGATAATAATAGCTAATATATAAGTATACTGATTGGATATTAGACGGTACGTTGCAGAGAGGAGTCATAATATTATCTTATGGTTGTTGGTTAGATTGACGACCACTGATTGAGATTTGACGCTCAAATAGAGTTTGGGGTTCTGGTCGAGTGATGCAGTGCGAGTGATTACAGGAACATAGATAATATTGATAGTCTCTGCCTGGTTGAAAACTTGATTGATATAAATAAAAGTACGTAGGTACATTTTAGCACACGATTTGGATTTTCAAGTAAAGTATTATTAAGACTAACGGTTAAAAACAATAAGAGAATATCCAACTGGCCATAATGGCGTGAAGAAAGTAGGCATATAATATCATAAAAATTATGCGCTATTGCGGCGGTAATATTTAATTGTGCCTCTATGGTGGCCTGGGGCTAGAAATAAACAAATGGAAAACGGTATGACTTTGTCACGTCGAGCAAACCATATAAAATTGGACATTGAAAAAGTGAGTGTTGGGGTCTATATAAAAATCTGCTCTGAGAAATGACGATAGGAGGAATTTCCAGCCTGTAGGGCCGTGGAAACGTGCAGTGATGGAAATATTTTATGACCTAGGTATCCTATGTCTCGCTAATGACACGACATAATATAATAATATAATACCAGTCTTATATAAATGAGTCAACCAGACGATTGCAATAGATTTGTAGCCGATGAAATAAATAACGAAACTGTTCTGAGAGAAGCGATCGCAATGGCCGACATTATCTAATAATCCGTTCCACGTACAGACAAATTATATATAAATAATAAATATATTATTATTTATATTGACGAGTCGATACGAAAATCGTTTACTGTAAGCGAAGACCACTCATTTCCGTTGTGGTTGTTCGTAAAAAAATATATTAAAAATAATAATAACAGTTGAATCGTTTTTCGGGGCGTTTAATTTCCAAAAACTCTAATTATCTTAGCACAGAAACAAACGTTGAAAACGAGAAACGTAAAATTACTTTTTTTTCTTCTGCAGAGGCAATTCATCTTAATGTCGCTATATTATATATATATATATATATTATTATTGGGTAGATATTAACAGTCCGATTTTATTTATAATTAAGTAATTATTTTGTTTGTGTTTTTTTTCCCCGTAATTTAATTAATTGATGTTTGATGTTTCTTATTTCTTTGACGCAACTTAGAGTTTATTAATTACATAATAAACTTTATATATTTATGTTAATATTTGCACATGCTCTTTGATATTGTTCAATAAATATAGGATTCAAAATATAAGAAAAAAATATTTATTATTTTTATCCTGTAGATTACAATAAACTTAAAACAAAAAAAAAAATATAAATTTTATAAACAATTTAAATTGAAAGAAATTTTTTTTTTTTTAATTTGTATATTATATTCTCCTCCGTACGATGATACTAACTGCAAAAGTAAGAACGACATTTTTGGAAAGATTAATGCCTAATGGTGTAAATCGCAATGATAAGACGGTGTTATTTATAAATATATTTCATAAATCAATCAATTAAGTTAATATACAAAATTATAAATGAAAATAATAATACAATTATTAATATTTTTAAGATGTAAACAAGTATATTGCTATTTATTTTGTTTAAGACAAAAATACAATAAATTATAACTTTTTGAAAATTAATAATGATTTTATTATGTAAGGTTCTATTTATGATTATGAGTGAAATTGCAATTACAATGTTTAGACCCTATGTACTATATATAGTCTAGGAAAACTACCCAATTATGGTTTGATGAAATTTCAATAGTAATTAATTGTCTCTCTAATTTACTAATATAATAAGTATATAAGTAGGTACGTCAATATTACCCTAAGTCCTAACGTAAATCAGAAAAATAAAATGTAATAAGTCATTTTTATTTGTGAGTTCAAACAAGGAACCAAAATAATTACTAAATTAGAACATAAATTATATACTATTTGTATTTAACTAATTACTTATTTATTGGTTATGTCTAAAGACCATATGTTTTTATATATCGTTACTGGGTCTATGCAGTATTATGATAATAAAAAAATGTATACGATTCATTCAATTCTGAATGTATGGAAAAAAGTTTTTTTTTTGCATATTTGAGAATATTTCATGGGTTAGAGAATATTTAACCCATTTAGCATATTTTGGAATATTTTGTAAATTATGAGAAAAAATTTGTTTTTAATTTTAAAATTACGGTAAATTTTTTGAACATTTAAATTTTTGTTTTATAATTTTCAACTTATACTAAAGTGCAATAGTATTCCATTAGAATACGCAACTTTAATACCTAATTAATACCTCACTATTAAAATAATGTTGAAAAAAAAATTTTAATGCATATTATAGCATAATAATGATGTTTATCGATTATTTTTGCATATTTATGCATATCTTAGCATATTTTTAAAAATTTAAGAGAATAAAATTAGAATATTTGAAGGTTTTTTAAAGAATATTGGCATCATATTTTAGGTATTTTAAGAAAATATAAAGCCGGTCTTTAGTTATGTCATAACAATTATTCACAATAATATCATCAAATATACTTAATTTAATTACATCATAGGCTGATTGACCTTCTTCTCTCAGAATCATTTTTATTATATCATTGAATTCAAATTTAACACCATCCATTACTGCAGTGACACGGCATAGGCGCAACTATAGGAACATTTTTCTGGGGGGACTAAAATTATATCGGCACTCAGCAAAATTGGCGGATTCAGAGGAGGGATGCAGAGGCACGTGCCCCCGGTCACTTTTTTATCGACAATTCTTTTTATGTAACTACGAGTAACATATAAACGAAAAATTCAGTTAATAAAAATAATAACTAGTAAATATTAATTATTATTTTTTTTTAATTTTTATTGTTTAAAAATAATTGTATGTATGTATTATTAATTAAAATTCAAATTATAAAGATTATTTGTGCACCCTCCATCCCCCCACCAAAATATCGAAAACCCGCCCCTAGTCAGCAGCACAAACTCTATAATAATTAATATTTTAAACTAAAATATGATTAAAAACTAAGAGGGCTTGGCCTTCATAGACCCCCCTAATTGCGCCTATGGTTTAGTGTAAATAGTGTAATTTCATTTTAATTACAGTTTTACGATGTAACTACATAGATCCAGAGCTCGTATGTTCATGCACTAAAAATTCCATAAATTAGCATGCTTTCATGCAATAAACATTGGAAAAATATGAACTAAAAATTCCAGAAATATGAATTTATATGCAGTAACAAAAATGTTTTAAGAGAAAAATGTTTGTTTAGAAAATATAAAATAATACAATTATTTTCATGGGAATTATTGAGTGAAATAATTTTAAATATTGAAAGTAAATTATCAGAAAAGTATTACATTCGAAAATATATTAAAATCAAAGTATTCAATCTTAAAAGTTTTTTTTGAAACAAATTTTTAGAATAAATATTGTTCATTAGAAAATATATAGGTAATTATCAAAAATACTTAAAGTTCAATATTTTTTGTTAAAAAATTAAATTTCCCAAAAATATTTAAGCTTATATAGATTTTCTGATAAAACATTTCTTTAGACTTCACATAAAACAGAAAAATATTTCGTTCGAAAATAATTTAATAGAAGAGTATTTTGTTAGAAAAACTATTAAGGTATCGGATTCTGAAATACATTAGGTACTTTTAAAAACTGGATTTGCTACAGCCAAATCTGGGTGGGCTAAGCCTACCAAAGCCCCCCCCCCCCGTAGTGGTGCCTATGACTGTAGAGCAGAGCGACACCCACATGCCACCTTTTTTTATTTAATATTTTTTAGCTGAATTTCAAACTTACATGGTTAGCAATTATTCTATAATCTTATGACGTGTGTCAAAATTTTTTTTAATAATCATTACACATACATGGTATACTTATATCAAGACGTTACATTATATTACATTAAATTACATTATCAATAGTTTTCATATTTCTTGGGAAAATCTCCTTAGAATGTAAAATAAACATTATTGTATGAATGAAAAAAAAAAAGTACTAGTGGTATAAAAATTGTTTTGCAGCAACGCGAAATCATATAATTCGGTGGAAAACTGCAAAGTATGTTTTTGCACGAAACATGTTAAGCCGAAATAATATGATTATACATAGCTGAGAAGCATGAGTAGAAAATCAAATATCGATGAAGTAACATTCCCATACAATAATGTTTTCAACAGCAATTTTCATATTATTATGATTGCACATTATTTTATATGTTTATACCTTTATATTATACATAATGCAATACGAGAATTTATTTATTGTTTGAAATAATAGATTAGCCAATAAGAATTTGTGAGAGAATAATGTTATCCAAAATTATTCAGGTACAGTCAAACGTTTTTTTTTATGAAAAAAAAGCAATCACTTAAGAATGCAAAGATATTTCGACAAAAATTAAATTATAAACTGCGTCCTGTTTCATACGTGGAAATTGTGGAACGCTGCACAGCAGTACGCGATTTATCGTGCATGTTTTGAGCCATGTGTGCTTATCCGACAATTAGTTAATTGAGTATTTTTAAATTATCATCAGGACACGGGCCGAACGAGGCCAAATAGCGAATAATATGTTAAGGGGTTGTTTTCAATTTACATTTATAGCGATATTTCAAGGTTTTTAGGTTGTTACTTATTGAATATTTTCCCATTGTTAGCCGAGAATCGTGAATAACTACGCTCTCGGTAAGTTTATCGATTTTATAGCGTATAAGCAGGGTAATATTATTCCTCGGGCATGTTCCGGTGATTATTAAAAAAAAAATAAAAATATATATTGTATTCAATTTGATCGAGATCCTCTAGTTCTTGTATAATATTCGTTAAAAAAAAAAAAAACCAAAACGTGCAAAATCATCCGAATTAAACTAGTATTGAGCAAACATATTATTACCTATATAAGTACTGAAGTACCTACGACTTATTTATCAAATATACTTTGCAACCATTCTTAAAATGTAATAATTCTATTTTACAAGTTAATATTTTCAAATATATATGTTCTAATTTTACAAATTATTATTATTATTTTTTTTAATGTCCTGAATTATTAATATTTTTATCAATTAGGTATATATTATATTAATATTATATTATATATACCATATAGATATTAAAAATTATGTATACTTTACACGTTGCCGCCTTAATATAAAATCTTAAACTAATTCCTACTAACGCTTAAGACGTATTGATGTTTCGGTGTTAGGTATCTAATGATTGAACAAAATCTAACAATTTAATGAGCATTTTTCGGAAAAATAAAGTTGCCTATTTTAATTGGTGTGTACACTTTACCTACTCGGCCCAATATTATATCGTGTACAATTATTATTGATTTATACATTTCTTCTTTATTTGTATAAAAGGTACGGGATGCTAAGTAAATACAAATTTAAATTAAATATTTAAAATAAAAATATAAAAAAAACCCGGAGCCATCTTTGTTTTTCACTTGCATATTTTTAAAATGTGATTGTTATCAAATAATACATAAATAGCTGCCTTTTATCAATGTTCAATTTATGTGCACTGGAATTTTCAACGAAAATATGCTTTATAATATTATAAAACTAACATTATTAGTTAAATGAAAACAACAAATATTTGTACGTTTACCAATTGCAAACTTAAAACATAAAATGTTTACACCGCCTACCCTATCTCGATGAATTCAGGCGGGGAATTTAAAAAAAAAATAAAAAACGTCACAATACCAAGTCTATTACTATATCAAAAATCTTAATGAAAAGAAATATTACTGTTACCTACCGGAACAATGGTAAAACAATCAAAGTTAAACGTTTCGAAAAACAATCACTTGCTCATTTTTAATGGATCACCTTTTATTATGGTAACACATGATGGATGTGCAGCGTATAGAGTATGTGTATCATAAAAAAACCTAGATAACGATATAAATTATAATACAATATTGTTATGATGATGAATTGGAATGCACCATCATTTCGCAATAATAATCTACTCTCAAGATTGCTGGTTCAAATTAAATAATATTTGGTTTTTAATGAATTCGTGAAAAAATAACTATCGATTAAAAGTATAATATGGGTAATAATATTAACATCGATTGTGGTTGTGATATCGATACGCATTCACACATATTATACGTCATTATTAGTATGTATACATTTGCATCAATATACCTATCTAGTGTTATAGATACCTACAGTCGTCTGTCGCTTAGTAGTCATTATGTACGCTATGTTATTAAGGATAATTAAATTAAATGCGGTACAATTAGATGAAAATCATACGATTACGTGCTAAAATTTATAATGATTACGTTTACCAAGCTAGTAACTTAATATCGATGTGTCATAACTCACAACAATAATATTATAATTATAAGTCGGCGCAATGTTATTTAACATAATATTATAATATTTATTTAACGACATAAAAAATATTGGACGAGCGCATTATCCACAACCGACACGAGGTTTTACGTGAAATTAAATATTATTCGTCGGCTTATATACTTCACGTCGTACATAATAATAATAATAATATTATATTCCACTGATGGTGGACGGTGAACAGAATTCGGCGCGGTGGAGGGCAAAACATATATCCTTGTGCTCAGCTAACATAATAGATTTAAATGTTATCGTAACGAACACTGTGGTTCTATAAACGTCTTATATGGTTACGATATTATATTATAGAACAAGTCGTCTAGCGTACTTCGCATATAATATTATAATATATGTATAGACTTTACAGTGTACACACACTGCTGTTGTGTAAATTTCTAACCGGAGTGATTGACGAGATATCTCGTTTGGAAGTGCCCCCCCATCGTCGTCTTCACGAATTCGGTCCGAGGAGTCCCGGACATAGTTTCGATGGTTGTTAAGGAAGCGAATGGCCCGTTATTGTCCCTCGTTAGGGTTCGCTATAATATAATATAATAACATAATATTGAATTGCTTACCCAGCGGACGCTACGTGTCTTGGACCGTGTGAAATTCCCAACGTCCGGCTGCTAGGTTAGAGGGGACTAATAACAAACTTCTCAGCGAGATTTCATTTAGTACTTATAGCATGTACCTACTGTAATTTTTTGTTTTAAATCACCTATAGTCTATAATGTTTGCGTTATAATTGACGATTCGGCAGTTTTTCAACGTGGATTTCTCAGTTTTCAGCACGCTAACAATAGCATAGGTTAGCGCCACCGGCTCGGCGTTATAGTCGTGACATTAATATAGATTATATATTATCAAGATTAATAAAATTACGAGAGCAATGCTACATTATTCATGAAATATATAAAAATAATAATATGGTTTGGTCATTACATATACCTATTTTATTATTATTATTATTATTATTATTATTATTATTGTAACATCGCAGACTACTCAAATATGTATGAAATTACATATTTTGTAATAACGTATAATTTTACATCGCTGAATGAAAATGTAATCAAATTTCGTTCGAATTTCACTAGGTGTAAATTAATTTTCTTGTTATGTTGATACCCACTTATATAATACTATAGTCTTGATTTTCAGCAAATATTTACAAAACACTCACAAACACTAGTATATAATTAATGTATATATTTATATGTATATTGTGTGTGTGTGACATAATTAGGAACAGTGGTTTTATATATTATTCAGAATCCAAATTAACATTAATAATTATTAAAACTTGAATAAAAAAGGCACTTTTGGACAACTTCATTTGACCGACTCTATTAAATGAAATATAATATATTATTATTACAAAAAAAAATAATAGAGTTGTAAGACGTTTTATATTATACTTCTGAAAAAACTAATAAACTTGATAAGATTTAGTGACAATGTTTTATGAGTATTTTTGATGATCTATAAAAAAAATATATATAAATAGAATAAAATGTTAATGTTATAGACTTTAAAAAACGTTTCTTAAGTTAACGATGATCAATAGTACGTCATGAAAAAATACTATTTTATATTCCATATTATTATCCTATTTGTCTTAAATAAGTCTACCGAATAGAAAACTGGAGTTGAGTAGGTACTAAAATTACAATTTAAAAAGTTTTTTGGATATAAACTATAGATTTTTTATCGCATTTTGAACATATTTTTCGTCAAATAAATGTAATGTATATTAAGCTACCATAGGCAATATCGATTATAATATTAAATCATTTTTTTAAGAGATATATAGATTTTCAATTTACATGACCATATTATCTAAATATAAAATTGTGTTATTTGTTGAATTGGAATTATATTATACAAGGTGATTATTTTCAAGATAGAAACTCAATTTCTCAAATATTTTTTTTTATTTTATTTTGAAGTTATCACATAATACCATATTGAGGTTCTGAGCGGAGAGATGAATGTATTAATTTTACAATGATGTGGGTGTTATTTTAATTTTTTTGTGTCTCTCATCACTTTTTAGGACACTAAAATTCCTTAGATTTTCTTCAACAGTACCTTTTCTAGTTGGAAAGTGAATCTAGTTTGTACTTTGAGGAGTCAAAAGTAAAATATTCCTAATAGTCTTATCAAAATCGCATGAAAAAAGAAAGAAAAATTAATGAAAACGGGAATTTTCATGCTAAATTAGCTATCGAAAAAATCCATTTTGGTTTTTGGTGTAGCTTTAAAACAAATGACTTTAGATACATGCTGGATAAAAATATTGAAAATTTAATACAATGCTCTTATATTGTTACATTTACATTTGAAAAATATTAAATATCGATAAGTCTCTAGTCACTTTTTTTTATAAACATTTAAATAAGTTTAAAATTTGACAAAAGGCGTAAATATACAAATTATAATAAGGTTATAAAGTTATCAACCTTTATAGAAAACAAAAAAAAGTTTATAAGAAAGTCAAATAAAATTATTATGAGAGTTTAAAGTTAAAAACAAATAATTGTATACACTTTAGATTAATATTATGTTTGATTTATTAATTCCCATACTTCATAACATTTTCAAAATATTTAGACTTGTTTTGAAATTTATAATTTATAATTTCAATTTTTAGTTTTTTTTCCTATAAATGTCAATGAAATTTTATTTGTTGGGCCAAAAAGTATAAACATTGAATACAAGGCTCCTGATATATTGTTAAAATATCAGTTGAAAATATTAAAAATACATTGGCACAATTTTTTTTATAAGTATTTAAATTTTGACAACATTTATCAAATTTAAAATTTAAAAATAATTTTGTAGTTAAAGGTTTATGAAATGTTCAACTTTTATAGGTGAGGATTGAAAATTTAAAACAAGGTTCTACTTAAGTAGGTTATTCTGTAAACAAAAAATCTCAAAATTCTAAAAATACCGTTTTCTTTATATTTATTTTATGTTCAAATTTGTAGGAAATTGCATATTTAATAACCAAAAATTACGATTTTAGTTATTTTATAACATTAATTCAACTTACCTTACTTTATCGTATACACTGATATTATATCATTGGATTCAAATTTAATACCGAATGGATGCATTGTACAGTAACAAACTTGTAATCTACTGTACATCAGAGCGACATCCACTTACCCACATTTGTTCATTTTTATTTCAACCCTTGGTTACTAGTGTTATGAAAAATTTCATACATCACTCACTGTGTGAAAAAAACAATGGATGATTTGAAATTAATAGTTTTTAACAAAAAATGAGTAGTCCCATTTGTTATAACTTATCTGCTGATGATAGAAAGTACAGTATTTCAAATAGAAAAATAAATAAGAGCTTACGAGTTTCTGAATACAATAAGTTTTGCTTCTTTCTGTACACGCAAATGGAAATTTTATTTAAGCGCGACCCCAACAGTAAAGTTATTAGGAAGCATATTTACGACATGAGTATTTAACGACGAGGATGCCGCAACATGGTTAATAATCTTCGAGATGAGATTTCAAGAGACCGTGAACTAGATTTTTATATCTACGCATCGGCTACGAAGGGAAAATAATATAACGATAATAATATGGTCTTTGCTGGTCAATTTCTCGCCTTGGACTTAATCCGTTTTCGGTTCACAAATAAATCTTTTGAACGTCAAAAAGTGGTATACAATATGAATATTAATTATACGTGATGGCATCGAGGAAAAACCATACGTACTTGGCCAACCCGCAATTATATAGCGGATGGGTGTTTAGAATATTCATACGTGTATGATTTTTAGGGAGCTGACTGCGATCGAAAAAGGAACCACGATCCGAATTTATCATTCGTCTCATTCTTATCGCGCATAACGGCTACTATACACGGGATTCGCGTGAGGCCATATTACATAATATTATTATGTATATCTATGTTGTATAAAACGGTCGATGGGTGGTTTGTGGTGAGTATAATATATAATGTATATAAAACTCGGGGGGTGAATTATATGGGAATCAATTCCTCGGAACGCGATGAAAAATACGAGGTAAACCGATGGATTGAAGGGAGTGGTGTGTGTGAGAGAGAGAGAGTCGGTGAACGAAAAGGACACACGCGAGTCTGTGTGTCTGCAGTTCGCATCATCAATCAGCTCGGCAAGAGATGGACGCTCACGCGGACCGCTACAACAGCAGCAGCAGCAGAATTCTGCCCACTCGCCCACTGGCCGCATCCGTACAGTGTTGGTCGGACTCGGCGGGGAGGAGTGTTACACACTCTCACAAACACGAAAATACGAATTGGGTTCGAATTTAAAAATCGTCGCTCGTGAGGCGTTTTGCGAGCTTCACACGTGGCCCAGGAGTAGGTATATCGCATTTTACAGTCACAGTCGTCATCGGGGCCCGCGCACACCTTCCTCGCGACCATGGAAAACGATCGGTGGTGGAAATGGAGGCGGTGGGCCGGGGATTTGTCATGCGTTCCCGAAACCATTTGTATCAATTATCCGCGAACGGAGACCGAGTCCGTGTGACCAAGTGCCCGGGCTACACTGACGCAGCTGTTATATTATATATTTTGCAAAACGTACACTGCGACTGCGCACGCGCAAAACCATTGCATGCACGCGGCCGATAATAGGTTGAGCTACACGGTTTGCTTAGCCCCCTTCTCCACCTCATCCCCGCTAGGTAACCGGGTCAAAATCAACCTAAAATCCTAATCTACCGATGTTTGCGATTTATTTCGGTTACGTACTGTGGTCATAAAATATTAAAATAATATAGGTACCTATACAGCGAGTAAAAGTAATGATCAATAAATTGTTGTTATAAATTATAAATCGGCTACATATATCAATAATTTATACTTTTGACGTTTAAAAATTCGTACAATAACATACGAGTATACAACAATGACAATTATATACTAGGTACACAATTCTGAGTTATTTATAAACTATTATAAAAACCTACTATTATTATAAAAAAAATAATTTCCCAACCCACAGTAATAAAATGTGACATTCAATGCTTAGACTTGTTATTATAACATTATCATTTATAATAATACCCTATGCATGCCGTTTTTTTTTATTAAAAATGTCACGCGGAAAATCTAAGTGGATTGATGGGTGCGCTTTTATATACATAAATATTTACAATATATTATACAGACCTCCACACGGTTTCATTTGGGTCGTTCACGAGTCTTTATTATGTACTTAACATTAATTTCTTACGAATTAAACGGACATTTCATCAACAATAATGTACCAAATTTAAAAACGGAAATTTAATATACCGTTCGCGCGTGTGTTGCTGCAACGAGTGAGAAATACACTAAAAAATCTAGGAAATCCGGTCCAAAGTACCCATTTGAAAGGTATAAAAAGGTAATGCGATCTTGTATACCTATAGGTAATAATAGTATAAAAATATCGTATATACCACGGTGATCGAAACGTGCAATGAACCCCGCGGGCGCTGTAGGTATTTCGAAAAATTGAATCTCAGATCAGCTGACGATCAGTATCTCAATCGGAAAGGATAGCGAAATCGACGTTTACAAAAAAAAAAAAACATAAAAACGACAAACATCATAATAAACACGTCCTAAACTCCTATCCGCCTTCGCCGGGAAACGTGGGCCGATGTGGATCGGGAAGGCGTACAACGGTCTCCTGGAAAACTCGCACTCCGTCCGACTTTGTACCGCAGGTACTAGCCGGTACTTACCGCATAAACAGCGCGGCTGTACCAGCTTACCACACACCACTCGCCGCCAGGTATACCGCACACGGTGGTTATCAATTCGGCAGAGTAAACACTCGACTTCGAGGGGCGACGGTAGGTGGACGGGAGGTGCGACTCCTGTGGATCGAACGAACGTCTGTTGCTGCAGTAATTGATTTAGGGACGGTCGGGGCCCCCGAGGAGCCTAAAGAGAGAGGTTCGCGCCGCGGTATGGGTTCGGATCGTCGACGGACAACTACCTAGGATATTGCGGACCGGAATTCGTGCAAACATTGAGCGGGTATACACTCCACATATACCTATATAATAACAAGATATATTATTCTTGTGTAAACTACTATTCTTACACGCGAGATATACTTTCAGCGAAATTTTTACGACGCAAAATCAATAAGCTCGCTTTGCACAGCAGCCTACGTCATGGGCACTGAACAACACTGTTTGGCGAACGCAGTCGTCGGTTCGGTGCACGTGTGTGTTGAAAATGCAGAACGAGGACATGAAAACGGAGAGAGATGACAGGTGACAGTGGTGGAGGTTGTTGCGGGGGGGGGGGGGGGGGCAGAATAAAACCTTACACGCATCGAGTCTAAAAAAAACCACGTCGTAATACTGTGCGGCCATTCTGTGTACTATCGTCGATACCGTCGCGATATATTATGTTATTATTATTTATTTTTCTCGTCTTAAAAATAAAAATAAACGTTTCGTTATATTATTTATCGCGTTTTAAAGCTTTCGGTGCGCTTTTACGACGCCCTCGTTTATATTATTGTCTGAAATAAGCCATATAATATTATATATCTTAACGGCGGCGGTGCACAGTTTTCACCGTGACACAAGTCCTATTATACAATATACTGCTGTACACTGTTATATTATATATTGCATGGTTATCGGTTGTGTCGTTTAGTTATTATAGGTGGCTAATAAAAAATGGTACATTCGATATCGCATATATTATATTATTCTTATGGAATATTGTCACCTCAGCTCAATATAAATAATTATGAGGTAAATACCTATAATATCACTCAGGTCTTATATGGACGTAGGTATTACCACGTAAGTGAAGTGTATAATATAGAAAAAAAGTTCGTTTCTAAATGGCATCGTAAAAACGCACTTTATAATAAATATTATATGACCCGACACTTACCTACTACATACTGTGACGACGACCACGCAGTGTTATTATTACAACACTCTGATGTTATCCATCCGTTTATTAAAACATTTCGTCTCGTATTTTTTACAATTTTACAGTAGGTACAATATCAAATGGGATGCAAAATATAGTAATTTCACAATGGTATTTTGGTGCATGATATTTTTATATTATGACGTTGCAGTTACGATATATAATTAAACACAAATACAGCGTTTGAAAGCGTATAAAAGATATAACGGTATTGTTGGACATAATTATATGTCTCGAAGATAATAATAACGAATTCGTACGCTTTTATAACAATAAGTGACGACATTCATCATACATAATTCATCATAATAATATTATTATCACGGACGATTTGTGAATAATGACAAATAAACGAGTAACAGTATTATATTTATCTAAACATTAATCATAATATTTTGAATTTTTTGTACATTTACTGTTATTCTTATAAATGTTTAGGTATTATTCTCAAATTATTTCCCATCATCTGTATATTTTATTCAATACCGTCCATTATTTAAACTTTAAAGTGAATTCGTTTGAAAATATAGTTATTTCTTAAATTCAATTTCATTACATTAAGTCTTAAGAATGTCGATGGGAAAATGTTAAAAATATGTTTGCCTGTGTTTGTGTATTATAATACAAAATATTATTACTTGACTTAGTTGTGCTAATTTTAATTAAAATATGAGTAAGCGAACAATCTGTGATTTTTAAAATATTATACTAACCCTGTAAGTAAAATATGTTTGGCTAATTTAAATACATGCATTCAAAAATAGGACTAATTGGCCGTTGGTATGTAATACTAAAAAGTTTAACGAATTATTATTATTTCCATCGCACCGTATGTAATATTCTAATACTATTGGGTGTTAAAAAATATATCCTTTGGTGACTGTTTTAGGCACATACAAATACATTATTATGTATTTGTCATTATTCAACAGAAATAATTTATAAATTAATCATTTTGACATTATCTAATTTTTTATTTTTTCATGTATCAGGTATATTCGTATGTCAATTAGTAATATAATATTCAATAAAATATACTGTATTATTATTTTACCTCAACTATATTTGCTCCAGGTGTGATATTGTAATTTGTGTGTGGTTGATTCAGTTAACTTGACTGTTGTTTTTGGAAGCAACTGCAGAGTATTTTGCTCTATACGTAGTTTGGGGTAGATTGGCACAAAAACAAGGTAATTTTCAAGGGCGACTGCAGGTGCACATCATGTCCATTATATCATAATATTATCATATCATCATACGCGCTCCACAAAATAATTATGTGTAATATTATGTGAATTATTAATAATACACTAGGTACAACTACTAATATTGTAGTGCACTTAAAACAATTTCTAATTATAAGATATTTGATGCATTAATTTTATATTTAATGGATTTAAAAGAGAAAATATTTCAACTAGGTAAGTGGTACCCTATGGTACACGTGATTCTTTAATCAAATCACAAGACGTAGGGATAAAAGTTTGATCCTATACTTTTTTCATAAAACTAAGTCCACTATAAGCTTTAAAACAAACGGGTACTGTTAATTTCTTAAAATACTTTTTTCTAGACCTTTATTCGATATTCTTCATAATTTAACAATGTTTAAAAAGTTGGAAAATTTAGGACACCAGCCCGAGGCTCCTAAAACACACTCAGCCATGGCGTCCCGGTGTATGGCTCTTGCACCTTCACTCCCTCTGAATCCTCTGACTGGGCCTATCTGCATACAAATATGTTGTAGCAGTACATCGCTGACGGGGACGACTGTTATAATTATTATAACGTTCGTATGGCATTCCGCGGTATACCTGTGGCTGTGGTTAAATCGTAATATTTCACTAAATCGTTATCGGGAATTTTCGAAATCGCGGATCTCGCCGACTCGAATAGCGTGACGTGTAACTGCGCAATATCGGTCCATTAAATCGCGATCAATCCGGAGGGTTGCGTATTCGTTTATTATTCGTGTGTGTAGCGTGTACTGCGTGAACAGGTGTACGCCGGCTACGGCCCCTGCACTGCACCCGCAGTCTAGAAATCCAGAAATCGGCTTCGGGTTGGATAAATTCGACCGGTGCCGGGGATTTATATATACACACACGAACGAGTGTGTATTTTTTTTTTATCCCATCTGGACAAGGGTAACTTTGGGGTTGAAATATGACGGCCACCGCCGAACAAGGGAGATATTATATAGAACATATATTATATAAGAACGAATGAGGGTGCCGCCGCCGCCGCCGCCGCCGCCGCCGCCGCCGCCTGTACGAAAACATACGGGCGCCAACCGAACAATGGCAGTATTTCCTAACAAAGACGAATGCTTTTGGCCCGAATACCGCCAAAAAGACAGCCGCGACGATTCGC